AGTGTTTAAACCTAAAATCTATCTTTTAATGAATGAAAAGAAATCATTTCTCGGTAGTTGGCACTCTTAACTGAGCCAATGCTTCGCAATTTATGCTAAAATATTTACTTATTGCAATAATTTTTCAGAAAACTTAAAAAATTATGTTTCCAACATTTCAAATTTTAACATTCGTTTTTTTTCCCATTAAGACATTGTTTTTAATAATAATAATACAATAACGAGCATTTAATTACACACAGTTCACTTTCTATTACCAAAATATCATTGTTCATATTAAAGGATTTTTTTTTTGTAAAAATAATTATATACAAAAACAAAATATTATAATGTAGTAAACGCCCCTCTCAATCTACATATACAGAGATGCAAACTTGCTCTGCTCCGTGAAGAAAAATATTTTTTATTGAGTGCTAAAGTTATATTTATTGTGTGATTCTTTGTTTATTTAATGTAAAACCATTTTCCCCCTCTTCGTATAAATAAATAATTAAAAAAAATTATGTGAAACATAATTTTGTTCCAGGTGAGCATTATAAATTTTACCAGAATTATCTTAAATTCTGCATGGTTTCGTTTTTAACTACCACTCAATAAAATATTTTAAAGAAAGTGGAGCAGTTGGCATTGATAGAAAATATATCGATCGCTACAAAATATAACGTGAAATAATAAAGTGAGCATGATTTCAATAGATAAGAAATGATTACTTACAATTTAATCCTTGATTACAAGAAAATCCTAACACTTCGTTTAAATTACACTTATGACTGTCCTTTTTTTTTTCTTCATAAAAAAAAATAGATGGGGTGTATTCGTTGTTAAGTATTACCATTGGTTTAAACAAAGCAGAGGCACCCCCTATTTTTAGTATTTAAATATTTTGCGACAGTGATTCCCACCATGTGTGGCAAAACCTCCCTTTTTTGGAAGGATTTACGCCAATTTACACCAAGGGTTCTGTTTGTATATTCAACAAATTCGAAAGCCGTTTTTCAAGTGATTTTCACCCTCTATAAGCATTTTAGGGTATGATAATTGGACTAAACTAGACAGGGACACCCCATGGTTTTCACATTTCTTTTGCCCTCTGTCACCACCAAAGGGCTATTCTCTGCCTGCAGGTGTTCTATTCATCCCCACATAATTGCCCTTTTACATCCTGGTAATGTGATATGAAGGGATGTTTGCTTATCTTTTTGCTTGTGGTACTGGAAAAATAAAGATTTATCTGAGGATTTTAGGAAGTTTTTATTCTGCATTCTGGAGAGTTTTCTAAATGATTCTTTTCAATGTTTTATTTATTTATTTTTTAAATTTTTATTATTGTTTTTTAAATTTGTATGTATGTAAAATTTATTTTCTTAAGACAAACAAAATATTTTGAAAAATTTAAAAAAAGAAAGAAACGTTGGTGTTATTTGATTTTGCGCCTTTTTCAAATAATGCGCCCATGGCTCTCGCCATACCCTAGATACGCCACTGCTCAGAATTGCAAAGGCAAGTAAAGATATATCTCCGTTGTCTATGCTTTGACGAAACATTCTTGAGAGGTGACTTCGAATAGTAGAAGCAATTACTTACAAATAAAACACTAATTTAAAAATTATTCAGTTTATGAATTTAAAAAAAAATTATTAATCCATAAATATTCGTGCTTCAACTTTACAAATAGGTAACAATTGTGTTGAAAAATTAAAAATTCTTATTCTAAGTGCACATTTTAATCATAAGTGTGGGGAAAGCAGTTATCGACAATGCCAAGCTTCATCTATCAAAAGGTACCTCAAGATAGAGTTGAATTTGCATGCCTCGTATACTAGTGAATCATGTTTAATAATCGTAGTGGTAGTTATACCTACACCACAATACTCCCGCACCAAAATTTTATCGGGCATAAATTCGACAAACGGATACCACTAGTTGCGGAATTTGTGACAAACCGGGGGAGATGTATTAAGTTAACGATTGTGTGTATGGTCTCTCCTATGTTGCTATTAACAGTCGAGTGTGTGCAGGATTCCGTTGTGTGTAATTGAGACTGAGAAGCAACAGCCCGAGGAGGACGAATTAACAAATAGCAAATCAATGTGGACCATTCATCGAAATGGTCGTTACTTTCGATGTAGACGAGTTCATATCACGTCCGGGTCACCAATGTAGGGAGAATAGTTATCGACAATGCCAGCATTCATCGATCATCAGATACCTCAAGATTGAATCGAGTTAGCATGTCTCATATACTAATGAATTAATGTCTAACAATCGTAGTGGTAGTTATGCCACAATAAGAAATGCAATAATAAAGAATTGAAGTTTTCAGACCATCTTAACATTCACTTACATAATAAATAAAAAATTATTACTAAAAAATTTAGACCAGAAATCCTATTATGCTTGTAATTTATAGATGTATGTAGTCAAATCTGTTGTTAGTCAGATGTATGTTATACATAGTCAAATCTTTCAACGAAAATAAGCACATTTTAGGCACTTTTGAAGAACTAAAAAGAATTTACATTTAAGCTATGATTACAAATTATTTTCTTTTATTTTTTACTGCTGAAAGTTCTTAACATACGCATACTTTAAAATTAACAAATTGCAAAAACATTTTCAAAGATTTTACATAATTACATAGAAATGAGATAAAATAACTGGTTTTTGGCGAAGAATTTGGTTTTATTTGCAACCAATAAAACTTAAAATTTTAAATGAGTACAAAAGGAGTTTGTTTTTCTTCATTTTAAAATAAATATTAATCAGTTAATTCAACTGTGTAAAAAAATTTTATGTTATAATTAATAGTACTTCAAAGCACTCAAGAAAGAAAATTCTTTGAAGAGCCCTTAAAAGCACTTTAGAGCATGCTATGCAATCTATAATTTAAAAAAAAAGAAAAAGATTTATCACTTACTTTTAACTATTCTTCGAAGAACTGTGAAAAAATTTTATTATCAAAACCCCAAGTCTAATTCAAGTTAATTTTGATTAACTTTTATTTTAATATCATGCAAATAAGCAAAATTTTATTTATTTATTTTATATTCAGCAATCTTGAAAATAACATTTTATTTAATAACAGTAATACAAAGTGCTTTTTAAAAAATATGATCGAGATACTTTGCAGTATGAGAAATCAAACAAAAAAGAAATATAACTTGTAAATAAACAAAATCCAGCAATTAAGTAGGTGATATAAAATTTGAAAGAAAAATAGCATTATTATGCATTTTTAACAAGATATATACTGTAAACTGTTTTTATTAGTTTAACGTAAAGAAACAGTAAAATTTTAAAAGTTAAGCTAAAAGTAACATTTCTAATATATATTTATTCTTTATTAATAAAGCTAGTGAAAACATTATTTGAATTAAATCAAGTTTGGAGCTTTTTTGAATTCTGAAGTTTCTAATGCATAATTGTAATGTCTCTATACAATTATGCATTTAAAGGTATAAAATTAACAAGTTAATAAAAAGCAAGAAAGTAACTTTTTTACAATGCCAACACTGAATTTAAAAGTAACATTAGTAATAAAAAATATATTTATAGTCTTGATTAATAAAGCTACTAAAAAAACAATATTATTTGAATTAAATCAAGTTTGGAGCTTTTTTTAAATTCTGAAGTTTCTAATGCATAATTGTAATAACGCTTTACAATTATGCATTTGTAAAAAACTTGCTTAGTTGATAACTTTAACAAGATAAATTTAAATTAGTGAATTTAATAAATTGCGAATCTAATAAATAATAAATTGCTAATTATTGCATAATTTAATAAATTGCTAATACTGAAGTTTAAAGTAACAGTAAAAAAAAAGTTTTATTCTCAATTAATAAAGCTAGTACAAAACAATATTATTTGAATTAAATAAAATTTTGAGTTCTTTTTTTTAATTTCAAAATTTAAAATACATAATTGTAATAACACTTTAATATTATGCATTTGTGAAACGTTATATAATTGACGATTTCTACAAAGTGAATATAAAGCAATGAATTTAAAAAATTAATATAAAGCAAAAACTGAAGTTTTAAGTAATACTTCTGATATAAAAAAAGGAAATTTATTCTTGATTAATAAGGCTAGAACATAACAATATTTTAATCAAATCAAGTTTTGAGCATTTTTGAAATTTAAAGTTATCATTACATAATTGTAATGTCAATTTACAATTAAGCTTTTGAAAAAACTAGTTTGGTAGATAATTTTAACAAGATGAATATAAAGCAATGAATCTAAGAAATTAACATAAAGAAAAAATTCAAGTTGAAAGTAACACTTCTAATAAAAAATCTTTATTCTTGATTAATATTAATACATATCAATAAAGTTGAGTAAAATTAAGAGTTTTTTTTATGAATTACTTAGCACACACTGACTTAAGTTTTTTTTTCGGTCAAAAGGGTTAAAAAAAAATATATATATATATTTCCAGAAAAAAGCTACACTTTTTAAAGCATCAAACTTTTCCTTTTTAAGCAAATTTACAGTTTTACTTTTAAAGATATTCTGAAATATCAAAATTAAATGTAATTAAAATGAATACTTATTTAATTTTATTTTTATCAATAATCAGTTTAATTTTATCAATAGTTTGACTAGAAGATTAAAAAAAATAATAACAGGTAAAATTTCAAAATACAAATTTGAAAATAATTAATCAGTAATAGATCAGTCCCCACAGTCTCTTTAACAGAAAACTTAACAATACATTATAAGCTCAGAGAAATCATTTTTCTTTTGGTACCTAAATTTGATGTCTATTACTTACAAATACTTTTTTTTTTTTTTAAACTTTATTAATGTCTGTTACACACAGTTTGCCTGGAAGCTTGACACAAAAGTCTCCTTTCACAGTGTTGAGAACCAAATTAATTATTTCTTAATTATATAATCCTCAAATAATTATTTCTTAAATAATTATTTGACATTAATAAGTTAAATAGAAGCTAAACATTAAAAAATAATACATGAAAATTTGTGCAATAATATACAATTTTACAATAGCCTTTATTTTTTATAGTATTTAAATGAATAATCATAATCTAAGACAGTAATAAACTTAGCACACAAACATAAAACTTTACTTCTTTTACCACATTTCCTGATTAACGTGCATCTGAGAAAGAGGAATGGATAAAAAGAAATATAAAAGAAAAGCTGCAAGAATAAGAATACAAATAGGAGATTCAAACAAATTATTTTACACAACTAAATATTTGAACTGAAATGCTGAGATCTAGATGATAAAATGAGCAGAAAAGTTGCACCTTCATAACATAAATCAATAGATAAAAACAAATTTACAACATTTTAAAGTGAAATATTAAAAAAAATTCAGCACTATTAAATTTTAAAATCTTGGCTGAACTGTGTTACACAGCGAACGGTGCCCAACAACAAAAGATCATTTATCAATCTCAGGGATACCAACTTGTTATAATGTTTCACCACAGATCTGGTGCTTTTACATAGTAACAAAGATAATTTTAATATAATTGAAAGATAATTTTCAACTTTTGTAGTAAAATGATTTATATTATAACAAATTTGGCTCCAAAATACTCAATTTAAAAATCAGAATTTATAAGACTATTGCTAATGTAATTACTGAATAAATAGAATTACCGATACAATAAAACACAACGGTTAGTTTTTAAATTGCAAAATGGGTAAGTAAAAATAATGCCCTACACATTTTTTCTTTTTAAATATAATCTTTAAAAAATTAAGTTTTTCTACATTTTTCAAAAAATTTCCCAAATGTGTGCAGAAAATCTTAATTTGGAAATCTATAACTTAGGGAAAATGTTAGTTTAGCAAAATGAAACTCTGGAAAATCTTAATTTGGAAATTTGTAGCTCAGAAAAATTTTAATTAGGAAAATCTTTCGTAGCTGGCATCCCCGCAAACTCAATTATTTCTGAGATCATCACATAGATTTTAAATATTAAAATGTAATAGAAGAATGCATTGCATTCATTACACATATTACGATCATGGGAATGATACTTCACAGCACTCAAAAACCATCATCATCATAAAAAATAGCAAAATATCCAGACACCCCTACATAAATACAGCTTCTAATTGGGTCATTTAACATCAGGATGAATTTACACAAAAATGGCACTCACAATCATTTCCTTCATTGAATGCAAGAAGGAATTTTCTGTGCAAGTAAACAACAATCAAGTAGGTAGTACCTGCCAGTAGTTAAAGGGTTGAGAATAGTGGAATAGAGCAAAGTCTCATTGCAATGAGATTTTAAGTGCAAAAATTAAACATTGAAAAATTTACAGATGACTAGAAAATTTCCCAGTTATGTTGGTAAAGCTAATTTTGTGCCTCGCGTGCACAATTGTTTAATTTTGAGCACACAAAAACTTATATTATAAGACTTAGTTTTGTAAATGTGATTGAGGTGAAGAGCTCAGTATATGGGTGAATACACAAAATGTAGTGATTTGAACAAAAATTTAATTAAAGCTTTAATTTTATGTATAAACAGGATAATAGTCTTAATAAATTTGAGTCAGTTTTACTAACTCATTTCCTTTAAAAAATATATAAGAAAATAAATAGCGAATTTTAGTAAAAACCTACCACATTCCTCAAAAACATGAGAAATTTACAAACTTTTATCACTTGTTTTACACACAATTGTTGAGCATTGATTTTTTTGAAATACATAACCACAGCTATTAAAATTTTTTCATATGCACTCTAATATAGATGCAGCAAACAGCACACCTTTTAAAATATATTTTTGGAGCAAGTTTTTTTCAGAATCAAAAGTTTTTTCTTATTGTTTTACAAATCAAAAGTTTTTTCATTATCTTTAAAAAAATAGTGAATAATTAAACATTATTCCAAAGACTGAAACTTTTAGTTTACACCTTTTTTTCAAAATATTGAGGGTGACTATTAATAAAATCATTCAAATATATTAAATACACAGAAAGATTCAATTTTTACCCAAAGACAATCATGTGACTCCTTCAGTAACAGTAAAAATCAGAATAGCTTCTAAAAGTACATTATATAATCATTTCGTACCTTTCAATTCATAAAACATAATTTGATAACATTTTGAGAAAGCAACTACATGCTAATTACATTCTTAAACTTATAATTCTAATTTGAAAACATACTATAACAAAAAGAAAAAACCATTATAATACTTTCTTTTATAATGAAATTACAACTATGTAAACAAGAAATATATCTTCATAAGGAAAAAAAATAGAAATCTACAGAATTTAAACTTGAGCAATAAGTTTTAACAAACAAAGCTAAGAAAAATATATGTTTGAAAAATTTGTTAAATATATATTACAGAATTTGATAATTATATTTACAGGCAACTCTTAAAAGTGTTAAAAATGTTTTAATTTTCAGTGGCTTAGAATGATAAGCTCTAAACAACAAAAATATACATGCAGCAATTGTAGATACATTTAATATAATAGCAAAGTCCAAAAAAAAATTTGTTTATCACTAGGCATGCTTTAAAGATCACTCTCCCCTTGGCTTGTGCTGTCGCTTAACTCTGGCATATGGACCAATAGCAGGATCTGTGATAAAATCAAATAAAACTTTTGTCCAAGAGTTATGCTGCGGCAAATGGTCATAATATTCTCCGGCAATTTTTTTCACCTATTTAAAAACATAATGTAAGTTTCATTTAAATACACTAGTCTGAAACTAATTTAATTTTTCACAATTTCTTAGTGGAATGCAACTTACAATATCAGGTTTGAATACATAAAATCAAATGTCAACCTTAATTCTATAATTAATTCTCCCCCTATGTCATTATATAGGGAAACTGTATATAGAGGAGAAACAATTCTTGCAAATTTGTCCATTCATAAAAGTATTAGAGATTACAACAAACTTACAGTTATGTTGCAATAATATTCACAACACATTTTATTAATTTCAGATTCAATTTGCTTTTAACTCTATAAACAATTTCTATTTTTTGAAATCAACCATTAAAATGTTTTTTTTTTTCTCTTTTTTTCATATCTAAATCTTAAATGCAATAGTAGGATTTGTTTAGCCACACAGTACAATTAAAATACAAATATTACCACTAGATATTATTTTATCTTAATTTTAATAGTACAATACAGTGTTTTCACTACAGCGCGAGAATCTCGCATATTTTTTTCTTTTCTCGCATTAAAAAATGATTACTGCGAGAAATTTGAGCATTCTATAAATCAATTTCAAAATTTGCGAATTTCTTGTGTTTTGGAAAAGCTTCGAATTATGCCATTTAGAATAAAATCCGCTTCACTTTTCTTCCTGGATCTTTCAACATCTGCCCCGTTATCTAGCTTCTCTATTTACCAGTACTGTTCAGAACCTTTTCGAACAACAGAACACAACCACGGAACCCCTTCAGAACACATTTCTCTGCAACCACGTTTTTACAATAGGTAAGGTTTCTTCATGTAAGACGTTCAAATTTTTTATGTGCTAATGTAAGATCTATGATGATGCACCAAAAATATTCAATGCTTTAAAAAATAGAAGACGTTAACAATTAAAGAAATGATTTTTTTCAAGAGTTTTTGTGTTTTTTTAGTTTTTAGAAATCTCACTTAACTTTTCGAAATCTCAACCTGCTTTTGAGAAAGGGTGAGAAATTCTCACCCATTTTTTTGCTATGAGGAAAACACTGCAATATGACTTAACAATCATTAAACAATGTCAAGGCAACTCTGAGAGAAGCCTGGTAAATATGTCAATACAATTGGACACAATAACCCAGAAGTTACAATGAATAAGAAATGATTAAGGCCTGCATCCATCAGAAATATTTTAAGGATAATTATGAACTTCAAAGAACAAACTAAAATAGAACCTCCATTGATCATTTCAAAAGAGATCATTCATGTTACAATGAATAAAAAATGACAAAGGTCTGCTGCAGAACTCCATCCATAAGAAATGTTTTAAGGATAATTATGAAGTTCAAAGAACAAACTAAAGTATAATTATGAAGTTCAAAGAACAAACTAAAGTAGACTCAAGGGACCATTCAATTTACAATGAATATGAAATGACAAAGGCCTGCTGCAGAATTCCATCTATAAGAAACGTTTTAAGGATGATTATGAAGTTCAAAGAACAAACTAGCTTAGAACCTCCATTGATCATTTCCCAAGGTACCATTCAAGTTATAATGAATATGAAATGACAAAGGCCTGCTGCAGAACACCATCCATAAGAAATGTTTAAAGGATGATTATGAAGTTCAAAGAACAAACTAGAGTAGAATCTGCATTGATCATTTATCAAGAGATGATTTTTTTGCAAATGATATACAGCAGGGGTGCCAAACTCAAAAGCTAACTTGGGCCAAATAAACAATGCTTAACTTTAGAACTACTAAAAAAAAATCAATGTTCATGGAAACTAATATTTTTACTTCGAATTGTAATAAACATATATAAAGTTAAATTATTGTTTACGTCCTGATACTTGACATCTCTTCTCTGCTATTATCTTTTCTATTTCGGGAGAAATTTTATTGGCTGAGACTACCAACTTACCTCGATGTAATAGGATAAACCTGATTATGTACTATCTAATTGATAGCTTAGTGTGAAACGGACTCCATTTCAGCCAATTAGAATTTTACATTTTCGCTCGGACAATTTAAAATGATCTGTATAGTTTATAAAAAAAGTATATTATAATTTTTTATGCTGGCTTTGCTTCTAATTCACATTTCTATTTTATTTTTACTTTGCTTCGGATATATTGACTGGGCCACAAAAATTTTCAACTCGGGCCGCGAGTTTGACACCACTGATATACAGGATAACTATAATACTGATATACAAATGCGGGTCAACAAAAAATACCAACAAATGACTTGAGAATGCATGAAAATTAATGTAGAAGTAATGATTTGGAAATATATAATCTTAAATTATGTATAGGTTCGGGGCAGTATGGCGACAATTGTTGCCAAATATTCTACAAACGTCGTTAAAATCATAGCCATAGGCGCGACAAAATTGTAGTCTTGAAATATGTTTCAAAATTAGAAAATAGTAACAAAAAATAGTTTTTCTGCATCGAATGCCAAGCATTTAAAAAAAAAAATTTGCTTATTTTATTGTTCTACAAATAGGTTACATTTTAGTTTTAAAATTTTTCAAACAGAATAATTGAAAGTGTCAGGCATAAAAAATTTTGAATTTAAATGTTGATATGTTTAATTTATATTTTGTGCTATGCCAACCAGGTGGCCGAGTGGTTAGCGTGCCTGACTGCGATGCCAATGGCTGCGGGTTCGAATCCCGCTCTGGGCATGGATGTTTCTCTCTCTCTATGTTGTCTTCTGATGTGTGAATGTATGAATGTGGCCCACCCTATGAACGGGTATCCGTGGCAGTGTGGCGTGGGTAATGTTGCTCGCCTCCGTGACTTTGGTTCACAGGTGCCCACTGGGTAACGATGAATGAGCAGCACCTCCGGCATCTTCTAAGGCGAAGAACGAAAGTTCAGTGCCTGCCGTCATTAAAAAAATATATATATATTTTGTGCTATGCTTTGTATTCCTGTACTGACAGTATAATTGTTCATCACTAAAATTTTTTCTCTCGCTCCGTTAGAATTGACTTTATTTACAATTTCATAATTTTTAGATAATTTATAATATATTGTTGGTTCTTATATTCTCTGTTTCTTTCATTTATTTATTTGGTTGAAGCATTTTAATCTATATGTTGAATTTACTTACTATTATTATTCTAGCTAATGATCTAAACGGTTATTATTAATATTATGAGTAAAAGCTTTTATGATGGGATCATTGAAACAAGACAATATATACAGGAAAATGAAAGATACAGGAATGATGGAGTGAGGTTCAACTGTATATGCAACTGTCGAAGTTTTGCCACTTAATACAATGCCGAAAATCAACCACCAAATTATGAAATTATCAAATACTTTTACATATAGTGTAGGAATTTTATACAATGTTAAATAATAAACCAGTAAAGTAAAAAATAAAATTTCATAATTTAAGTTCCTCATTAAAGTTAATTCATTAAATAATTTGGAATTATGTTTATTAGTATTAGTTCAAAATAATTTTTAAATGAAAAAAGTGGGTTTATATTTTATTTTGCTGTGTTTAGTAAGAGAGGCTTATATTTCAGTAATAGATATGTGTCGTTAATAACTAGATCAACAGGAATAAAAACCCAACCGGATTTAAAGGCTATTGTTCAGTTAACATAAATTAACTAGTTTTTCACCCCAAATTTATAATATTAGAAAATAGTAAGCAAAATACTGTAAACCTATCAAAATGCGAAGAAAAAACTCTTTCAGTTATAGCATTTTTGTTTGAAAACTTATAAGTTTTATTTATTAAAAAATACCATAAAGTTATATCTCAAATATTAAAAAAGATTTAAAATTGCTAAGTAATGAATCAAATTTTTCAAAAATCAATGATTTAAAACTTCTAAACTTCCTAAACTTCTTTATGTAAAGCATTAAAAGAAACTACAGGTGTTTTAATTTCTTAAATTCATTCAATTGATTTTTATATCCAAATTTCGCTTTTTTATATTAAAAATGATTCATTAAATAATCTGGAAATAATACTACTTTTTAGAATAGTGAATAGGAAATAATACTACTTTTTAGAACGATTATAAACTATTAAAAATTTAAACTTAATACTTGATATTTCTTTATTGAAAAGAGTTTCACTTATTTCTTCCACTTAAGTCAGAAGAAACCTAATTTTTCCTGTTCAGCTTTTGAAGAAAACTGCCATCCCTGTTGACATTGTATTCAATACCTAAGCATTGTGTACAATGCTTAGGTAAATTATGTAATAATTCTCATATTTCATAATTGGCCCTAACATGTCATGCATTATACAGAATAGCAGCATTGAATTGCCTTCAGTGATTATGATTCTTAATATAATTCCTTACAAAATAGTTCTAATTTTTTATTTCACAAAAGAATAAAAATAATAATAATTATAAGTATTAATTAAAAAATGGTTTTGTGAATGATTTTGCTTGTGCAACTCACAAAATTTCCAGAATCAACTTACCATGGGTAATCTTGAGCCAGGAATACTAGGAAAATCGTGATGTTCCATATGATATCCAACATTAAAAGTAATGAAATTTAGACCACCATAATAAGAGTATGTTTCAAAACCTTTCTTGAACATATAATGTTCAGAAATAAAATGACCAGCAACTGGATGCAATCCCATGGCCAAAATTGTTCCACCAATCATATATCCCACCATTCTAATACCTATTAAAAAATACAATTTGGTAAAAATATAGAAATGCAAATCTAAATAATCATGCACAGGACAATTACTTATAAAATACATTTTATAATGAATAATATTATTCTTATTAAAAGTTTTTCAATAGCTATAAAAACAAAATTAAATAACTATTGCGCAGTACACAAAATAACATCATAATTACTGTTCATCGAGTGATCAAATTTTACCATAAGATAATTTCAAAGGTCCACTCTTAAATGTGCAAACTAATTTGGGTAGACGATATTTTAATCATGAAATTTGACACTATTTTTTATTTTTTTTTAAAAGAAATTTGAATTTTTTACTCTTAAAATATGAGGGGTAACCATAATTTGGAAAATAAGGTATAGCTTAGCCAGGAGAACAATAAAATGTTTGGATGTCAAAAATAATAATTCCAATTTTTTCTTATGTCTCGAATTCTCTGAAACCATGTTTTAACAATGAATCATCAGAATAACACCTTAGTATATGAAAATATGATTACTAGATTAAAAGTTATTAAGATATGTTCCTTTTTTTGGTACACTGGTAATCCATTCAAATCGTGGTTTACAATTACCTCTAGTGCATTAAGCAATGGCATAAATTTCTGATAGTAATGTTAACTTAAACGCTAAAAATAACAAATACCAATTAAGTAAATAATTTGTATCACTCATATGTTGTAAATATCATTGCAACAGATAGTAAAATTATTGTAAAACCTCAAATTTTCGCATTAAGAAGTTCCTGTTTTATTTTATTAAAATATAACAGTTAATAAAAAACAGAACTTAATTTAGAAAAGTTTTATTTTAAACATTTAAAAAGATAATTAAACAAACTGAAACATGAATAATAAACAAGTGAGATTAAACAATCAATACATTGTATATTCAAACTACTAATATTCATAAAATCTGCAACTTGGAGCATATAATTAGTAATATTGTATGTAATATTACAGTTTTAAGTCTTCATAGCAGAATCCTCAAATTTGGAACTGAATTTTAAAGTCCTTAAATACATCCATCCTGCAGTGACTCAATATCTTAAGTGAAAAGAGTTGAATATAAATTAAAAGTACCAAAACCTTACTATGCAATTTTATACATTTTTAAAACTAATTCTTAAAAATTATGAGCTGCTTTTTATAAATTGATTTTCGACAAATGAAAAAAAAAAAACTTGTAAATTCTTTTGCATATTTTGAGATTAAATTCTTGAATAAACTTTTTAATTTCATACATTTTTCTTTACAGGCACTAACAGAATGAATGGAAAAATACTTGAATATTGTTTTACCTTGGAAGATTCTCACAACTGGTAAGTACATCTGAAATATTATCCCACTAGCTCTAAGTATGATTTTAGAAATTAAAGTTTACATTTCGTGTGTTCCATTTAACACATAATTTCAAATTTTTTTAATTTGTAATTTAAAATTATGCAATAAACATATTGCAAATATTTTTAAACTTCATAATTCAAATTCGACAGACCATCATTATTAAAAAACAATGGGTGATTATTAAAACTTGTTTAATCATTCCCCTCCCCTTTTTTTTGTATTTAAAATAATCTGTGGCAGCAAATGTGGAACACAGAAACAGACATGGTAACCGTAACTGATGTTTTTAATACTAAATTTCCTGATGCATACATAAATCTTATTCAAATTGAAGATCATGCCATTTAAAATTATACTTTACATTTTGATCAAAATACGAAATGTTTTATGACTTCTGAATTCAATTCATTCCTACATCAAATTTAAATATTTATTGCCTATATGGGCTTCTTCATTCATTTTTTTACTTTTTTTGGCAGATAAATTTTCTGTTTCTTTACTTGTGTGATATTAAAAAAAAAAAAAAATCCTTAATAAAAGTTCTTTGAACAAGTCAAAAATAGGATTTCAGGAAAACATTTTGAAGTCTTCAAACTCACATATTTTTTTCACTCCTGAGCACAGTGGGCCAGCATTCGAGGTTTCATGGCCAAAATTAGTATTTTCGATTAAATTTGTTCCAAAATTTGGGGGTTTTTATGTGCAGGTAAATTGAATTCACAGTTGAAATTTTGAAATACACTAAAAATACCAACAAAAATAAAATGGCGACTGAAATATGGCGAGCAAAAATGAAAATAAATAATATAGTACGTTTAAATAATTAAATATAGCAATGAAAATATAATGATTTTCGTAATTTTATATTAAAAATGAAAAGCAAATTATATTTCCCATGTAATATTACAAAATAAAGCGAAAACATGAAGAAAAAAAAACATAATTTTTGTTTATCGGTATATTTAGTCCACCTTTGCAATACGGGCAAAATGGGGCAGGTTTTTTCGAAAGATGAAACATCAAAGAAGACAACAAAACAAAGTTTAGCTAATTACCTCATGGAACTTTTAGGAACTAAATTTCGAAAGTCATTCAAACATTGTAAAATATCAAATGATAAGATATAAACTATAAGTTTGTCAAGAGTATCAACTAATCCAACAAATTGAAAAGTTGTACTATAATTTCAGAGTAATTACTCTGATAAAAATGTAACAGTAAGGTGAAATTCGAATATATATTTCTGAAATAAAAATTTAAAATTTACTTTAAAAAAAAATTTTTTTAACATATTTTTCACTACGTTGTACTCTTGTTGTTCCATAAAGTAAATTATAATGTTTGGAATGGTTATGAATACTTAATTTGGGCTATATTAAAACTGCCTACACATATTTCAGTTGAAAATTTAATTTTTGACTTTTGGCCAAAGATCATGGTATTCTGGCCCACAGTGCTGAGGAAGAAAAAATATTTAGAGCTAGGGAAGGTCACTGTGAAACATATCCAGATTCCAGATTTTTCATTCTTTGCAATATTAAAAACATTTTAATTCAATGGCTTAGTCAGGACAAAATGCACTTAAATGATAACAAAAAAATAATAATAATAATAATAATTACCTCACTTATTTGGACTTATATAAACATAATATGGTAAGTAATCATTCAAATGTGCACTATAATTAACTTCAAATAATAATACACAGGTGTAAAATTCATACTTACCACAAAAATAAGCTACAATAGCATCAAAAATAAGCTGGACAATGAGATTTATAATTTCAAGTGAAGAAGGAGGTTTTGGGTACACAAAGAATGCCCTTAAAGTGTAAAAGAAAGGCTGCAATAGTACCCATAGAAATTTGGTATAGGTTGTACAAAAAAGCTGTGCCTCCAATTGGGTGGGAAGATCAGTATCTAGTTTTTCATCTCCCTATAACAGATAAAAGAATTTCGGTAAATTTTTATACAGCAATGAAATTATTATCTGAACATTTTTTGGCAGTCATATTGTTATTTCAAATACATAATGTTCAGTAGGATATACACAATCTTTTTGAGAAAGGGTCACAGAAAAAAAAAAAATAGTTAAAACTTTTTAAAAATTACAATAAGTTCAGTTTTTATATCAATGGACAATAATTTAACTATTCATCAGTGCATTAAGAACAATATAAATTTATGTTAAAAATTAAAGACAAGCTACTACAAGAACAGATTATGCATACTATTTCCAAAGTATGTATGTGTACAATATTTAATTTAAATGAAAAATAAATTAAATGTAGTGAATATATTGAATGTAAATTACTTAGATGTTTAATTTTTAAATAAACTTTTGAATTAGATTTGAAGAAAAAATATTTCGGTCACAAAAAATAAATAAACATACAAATCAAAATAACGTAAGATTAAACTTACTGAACTTTGAATTAAATATTAAAATTCATTTATAATTTAGAATTTTAATGATATAATCAATTATTTTTTTAAATACATACTGTTGTCACCATGTTATACCCAAGCTAAAAAGCACGAATATAGACAATTACTTAACAGAAGGTTAAATTATCATATTTTTAAACAAATTTATAGTAATTTTATACGTCAATACAGGGGTCTGTCCAGGCCGAATTTACTACCGTTTAGCGGTACCTTCACAAATTCAACTTTAGGAAAAACAGTAGTTTCACAAAATACTTTTTCTTAAAATTTTATTTTTTTATTACTTAAGAAATGATAATCCATTTTTTTGTATTGATCTTTTAAGATAATTTTTAATTTTTTACAAATTATGTCTAACTTTTCACAAAATAGGTACCTCTCAGAAAAACCTAGACAGACCATTGCAATAGTAGCCAAACAGCAATAAACATAATAACTAAATGTTTTTGCGCTGTTAACACGTAATTGCTTTCAAAATTAATACAGGTTTAATAATACAAAGTCATGTAGATTGATGAAAGTCTTTTCAAACAAAGTTATTACTGACAGACTAACTGAATAAATTATATGTATTAAATGTTATACATCATTAATGGGTAAAATTTCTTCTTTCATCTCTTCTTATTGGGTCAAACATTCTGTTATCCCAAGTTTTATTATTTTTCAAATCAAGAGAATCATTCATATAGTGACGATAAACAAAGTAAAAAAATTTTCATACATAAAATTATAATTCTAAATTTTATGAACTAAAGAATCTTTTTTTGTATTGATTTTCAAGGGAAAGAAAAAAACTAAGAGGAATAAGAAGTAACATTGGGGGTTGGTGCCCGTCTCATGGACTTACTAAAATATATATTTATGTAGTAATGGAGTTGTTTTCAAGACAATTCCTTTTCAGTTTATGTTAAATTATATTAAGAATATTAAGTGTTTGACTTTAAACACTACCTGCAATGTATAATTTTAAATATGAAATAATATTTATACATATATACAATTTTAGTTTTAGACAAGATTGTCTCATCCATGGTTAAAACCGCTACTAACTAGCACATGCCATAAACTTGTCAACCCACATAATAAATTGGATATTTATCCAGGGGTCTATCTAGGTTTTTCTGAGAGGTACCTATTTTGTGAAAATTTAGACATAATTTGTGAAAATTAAATTAAAAAATCAACACAAAAATATGGATTTATCGTTTCTTATGAGACACAAAAACAAAATTTTAAGAAAAAGTATTTTGTGAAATCCTAAAGTTGAATTTGTGAAGGTACTGCTAAACGGTAGTAAATTTGGCTCACACAGAATCCTGTTATCACTTTCAAAATACATAAATAAAATTACATTTTTTAAACAAAATTACACAATTCAATATTTTGATTACTCACTTGGTATTTATGATGTTCTAAGTGATATTTCTTGAATGAAATTGACATAGGCACACCAATGGGAAGGTTAGCAAACATTCCAAAAATTCTGTTTGCCATTAACCTGGAATGACCAAATGCTAAGTTGTGAGAAATTTCATGGACAGCTAATCCCAACGAATGGTTGATCACTCCACCAAAACAGTAAGCAGCAATAAATAGTGTGAAAAAAGATGCGTCTTTGAGAAGCCAGAATGATATTATTTGTACCAATACCATCCCTGCAACAACATATTTGAACATTGGATCATATCCCATTAATTCTTTTATTTCAGGATGTTTTTCTGAAAAGAAACAATCAATTGACAATTAACAATATCCAGTAAACTGAAATACACACATGGGGTCAATAAAAATAGAAAAGTCTTATCAATAAATTCTGTATTTCTTTTAAAATAAAAACTAGCACCTACACGTTATTGAAGTTGAAGAAATGATAACAATATATATACAGCATACTCTTGATATCTTGAACTTAGATATCACAAAAATTTTATGTCAAAAAAATATTTTTCCCTTTAACATTATACATCCACTTAATGTTAATTTGAATTCCTATGTCAAAGAGTTTCTTCTCATAACCTTGTTATGACAATTTTTTTTGGAATAGAAAATTATTTTTTTTTTCGTAAAAATTCTTTTCGCTTTACTTTTAAAAATAAAATTATCACTGTTATATTTAGACTTATAGTCAACTATCATTACTTACATATATATAAGTAGCTATTCCTATATTTCATTACTCTACTTTTTAGAGTAATATTTTAGAACACATTTTTCTTTTTAAAACATATTTTGTTCTGAACTTGTTATCTCGAAAACTCGCTATCTTGAAATGTTTTTAGCGTCCTTTCAACTTTGAGATCAAGAGTAGGTATACTGTGTATGGTAATCAATAATTAAATATATAATTTCGTTTCTATTCATTCGTCAAGTTTATTAGTTAAATACTATATTGATTTATTTTACGCTTGAGAGTAAAAGATTAAATTCTTTAATATAAAAAACCTGAAAAAAAAAGAAAGCAATAGTACAAAGAGAGAATATAATACAAAACACTATGACTTACAAATAACTAATTCCCATTCCCTAAAAGAATTAAAAACTAGTAACACATTTTTCCAAAGATATACATAATTTTAGATTACAATGGTAACAAATAAGAGATAAAACATTTAATTTTACAAACTTGTGGCAACTTTTTAATTTTTCCTAAATTAAATACCAACTTTCTAGTTTTTGTTGCTTATAGAATCAAAAAGGATATTTTTACTGAACTATCTTTAGTCACAACATTTAGTTTAGCACTTTTGTAATAACAATATGTTTTTCATATTTAATTCTTAAACATTTTAAACTAAATTGTTTTGATTTAAAATATGAAACATTCTTTTGAAATCAGTGTTCTCCCAAAGCGTTTTTAGAAGGGCAATCTGCCCTGCCTGCCCTTTGATCCCATAAATGCACCCTCTTTGTCCTTTTAGTAACAATAAGCAGCCCATCACTAAAAACACTGCCTTTTTATTACCTAAAGGTAAAATTATCTGTTTAATTCTGATTACTATTACATAGATTAACTTTGTTAGGAAACTCGTAAAATTTTTATAAGTATCTCTTTTTTCAGGTGGGAGGGATAATAAATGTTAAAAACCTCTTTGTTAAAAAAAGGCAACTTTAAACATTCATTTTTGCATAATTTCTAGTTTAAATTACATTAAAATCTTTAAAGTTGTTTATCAATTAATATTTTTTTAATTTACTTTTATTGAAAAAAATTTATACCCAGACATTATCTATTATCATTCTTTATTATTTTTATAAACTACAAATTTTTCTCTTATTCTGATAATGAGAGGATCTTTTTTTTTTTTTTTTAAATATACACGTCCAGTGTAAGAGGGTAATTTAAAAATTTTTGAAAATCAAAATCAGTTATTACATAATATTACACATTTTGATAAATTTTTACAGTGTTGAATGAGTGCCCTTTCAAAACTTAAAGTGCCCTTTTCATTCCTAGGGAGTACTCTGAAGAAAGGTTTTGATTTAAACAATTTGAAATAAGATTTTTTTTAAAGTAAAAGGTTTTTAATTAAATTAGAATGAGAAGGTTAATTTTAAATAAAGAAGGTTTGCCATTTTTTATCTAGCTTCTTTTTTTAAATTGATAAAAGGTTGTTAGAAAAGCAATTTCATACCAACTTGCAACTTTAAGAAAGAAATTAATTGATTACGCAATAGATTTTTCTATGCGCCGGATTTTGTAATTCAAAAGATAATCTCCTGAAATATACAGACAGAATTGTGAACAGAAAACTAGCAAGATTATTAATTTGAAATTACGAATTCCGAACATTTTAGAAAGGCTTTAAAAAGTGTACTCAAAATTTTCGACAAAATAAGGTCCTGATTTTGTGAAAAGTTACATAAGTGAATGATTGCTTCATAGGTCATGATTTTGAGGTAAATCCAAGCACAAATTTCGGAATCTAAAATTTCTGTCTGAATAAACTGAAATACATTACACAAAGTTCTTTTTCCATCAGCGATATTCATTTACTTGCAGCATTTTGTAATAATTTTCAAGACTAATTTTTCAGCGCCTGCTTCACCCAGAAAGTATTCTTTATTTCTCAGCAAACACTTTTTAAAACTTGATTAGATCTCGACAAATATGTAAAATAAGTTTGTAATAAGCCTTTGTTTACAAAAAGTAAACCAGTTATTTAGTATCATTTAAACAAATCCAAAATTTAATAAATATGAAATGAATCAAATGGGAATTTGTACCCATTATTTTAGCTGCAATAATTTCATAACAACTCACATGAGAAATTCTCTTAAAAATAACATTATATATAAATAAAAATTACTTAATATTTCTTTTCGTCGAGTCGCATGAGGTTCATCTGTATAAACCCATTCAAAATCGGCTCTTGACACTTTGGCACCCATCTTAATTTTTCTGACAGAATAAGTGAAATCGATGAGTTATAAAATTCAAGCTGATAAGGGAGTGACAGTGGTAGAATATAAAAAGAATGATAATAAAAAAATTTGTTTCGACATAAACAATTTTTCACTCCCTTCCACCGGCCATAAAGAAAAAATCTCGTTCTCTAGAATGACAACTACAGAAGTATGGAATGTCAGCACGTGGAGAAAACGACCAACAGAGGTCACTTGAAAAATAGCGCTTATTTTCTTCCTAAATTTTTTTCTGTTTATCTCTTTTATCAAGATAAAAAGAGATTAAAAATTTTTTTTTAAAAATTGTTACGATACTATGTTTGTAGTTTGTGTTCCACATTTTACTATATTTAATATAATTTGCATTTCACTTATTAACTTTTACTTTCATTTTGTTTACATTCAACTATTTTTAAAAACAAACCGGGACAGTATCGAACAAATTTTTTGATTTTCTATGCTATTTTATTAGCAAGTTTACGGTTTTTGATGTACTGTTATAAATTCTTTGCAGATAAATAATTTTTGAGGATAAGGAACAGAATGAATCGTCAATAAACTTCGATTACGAAATGCGTTTTGAATGCCTGATTGAGATGGGATCACACAAAAGAAAATCAAGTTGTATAACGGACCATTTCTCTTGTGACAGTCCAAGTTATAGAAAAAATAAATGTTCCAAGCAAGAAAAAAATAAAAAATGTGAGCAAAAACGTAAAGAAGCGAGGTACGGAAATTATCACCAATATTATGGCTATCGAAATATAGGCACTATGGATTCAAGAATTCAGTGTATGAAGCAAGAGTGGTTTGTTGATAAAGATGTACTGGATATTGGATGTAATGCTGGTCATTTTACCCTTGCTTTGGCTCGGGACTTAAAACCTAGATCAATTATTGGTATTGACATTGATAATGAACTTGTTAAGATGGCCATGAAAAATGTACGGCATTATATAACTTCAGAAAATATATCTGAAACTAGTTTTCCATTATCTTTGGTTATAAACTATGGACCTGTCGCGCAAGTTCTTGATCCCAAGGGCAGGTATTCGATTGGCGAATTTCCATTTAATGTTCAATTTTTGCAGGTAAAAAAAACTGAATGTTGAGTCATAGTTAAAAAATAATTATAATTGTTTGAGAAGCTATGTTCGAAGAATTCGAGCACTTTAAAACGTTTCTATTTTTATCTGTTACATAATTTTTAGGGGAATTTTTATATGTAAAATCCTAAAGCTTGACCCTTAAACTTCAAAATTATTTTAATTATCTGAGTTATTATGTTAAAAATAGCTAAAATTTTTTATATTTTATCTAGACCTGTTATTCATAGCAAACACCAATTCGCAGCAAAGATTACTTAGCTTTCTAAGATTTCAATTCCTCTTTTAGTCATTGCATATTCTAAACAAATTTTGCTGTTCAACCAATTTTATTCACCGCAGTGATTGTAAATTTATATTTCCTAGTATACTATTAATCTTCCTTTCTAGTTATAAAGCTATTTAATCTGATTAAAATCACTATGTAGGTTTTTAATCCCAGATCAATAGTTAGTTTTGATATTGATAAAGTTGTTAAAACAGCCATGAAGAGCTGATTATTGTTACATTTTAAAAAGTGTATGTAAAATTAAAAATAGCATCCTGTGGTTATAATCTATAAACCTACTGTGCGGATTCTTGATCCAAAATGCAGATAATCTGTCTGTGAATTTACATTTAATGTTCAGTTTTCATTGGTGAAAATACTGAATGTTATGTAATATTTTGAAAATAATTTTGTTTGAATAACTATGCTAAAAGTACTCCACAAATTTTTTTGTGCTATATACTTATGTTATTATTTTGAAGACTCTTTTTGTTTAAAATTGTCAGGAGGATGTAGTATATATGTTTTATTAATCACTGCATATAACTTGTTGTTCAACAAGATTATTCCCTCTAATAGTAAATTGCTTTTAAATATTATTTTATATATAGTATTACTTTTTTAAAGTTATGTTTGATGCATCTCCCCTTTAGCTGTAAAACCATTTAATCTGAATAAAATCAATGTGTGAAAATATATTTCATAATTCACTTTATTATATATTTTATATATATAATAAAGTCAATATCGACTCCCATTTATCACCATGTGTAATGATTAGTATTAGAGTCTGTCATTAATTTATAATTTAATCAAAAAAAATTTTTTTTTGCACATGTTTAAGACAAGTTATGGTAATCATGTTTTTTATATATGATGTTACTATTTTATTAGAAACAATAAATGTACCAAATGCATCATAGTTATATGATCCCTAAATGATTAAGATGAATAATAGGTCATTAAATATTTTTTTTTTTTTTTTTATCTTTCATATAAAATTCTGTATTATAGGAAACAAATCATGAATAAAAAATTTTAAGTTTGAGTTTTGGGGGACAAAATTACAAAATGTAGTGATATTGAAAAAAATCTAAATGTTGATAATGACTCAAACCGTGAAGTTTTACACGTATTTATCTTGATTGTGGTTTGATTTCCTGTCAGAAAACATTACAATTATATTATACTATGTTTTTTAATAACACATTATTGATAAATTTAATAACATTTTTAATTTAATTTCAATTTTTTTTTTTACTTATCAGCTTAATTTTTTATTGATAAGCTAAAGAAATTTTCAGACAATAAGCTTGCTTAATTAGTGTATTTAACTACAGTAGGGAACCGATTATCCGGAACGATTGGGATCATCACTATTCCGGATAACTGATTTTTCCGGCTTTCGCAATCGCTACAAAAAGCGGTTTTTTTATTGTTAAACCCAACTATATAAAAAATTTGGAAATAATCTTGAAAAGAAGAAAAAACGATGAAGTAATACACTAATGATTATTTCCAAAATGATGGTAAGGTGAACATCTTTCAAAAAAGAAAGAAAAATCCTAAAATCTTATGAGGAAAAAAATTAATTTTTTTTTAAAATGGCGGGAAAATTTATTGAATTTCATTCCGGTTTCCGGATAACGGGTTCTGTTCTGTATCTACATCAAAAAAAAATTTTTTTTTTCATTTTGTCCTTTTGTTCTATTTTCTTTCTAATAAAACTTTTATTTATTTATATTTTAATTTAAAAACTCTTAATTGACTTATTAATTATAAATTTTTTAAATATTAAAAATTAGGTTATTTAATTATGGAAGTTTCAAAGCTAAATTGCATTTTTAAAATTTGCTTGATTCTTAAATTAGTTTCTGTGTTTTATGCTTACTTCCTTAAATCTGCACTCCTATATTTCTTAGTTAAATGTTAGTAGTTGTCATAATTTTTTGTGTGTTGTAATTGTAGTTGTTGTTTTTTTATGCCACCTATTTGGATTTTCTTTCCAGGCAAACTACATTCTTCCATCTGATGCATATTTAAATTATGAAGAGTCTCTATTTGATACAATACTGTGTCTTAGCCTAACTAAATGGATTCATTTAAACTGGGGTGATGCTGGCATCAAAAGGTTGTTTAATAGAATATTCAAGCAACTCAATCCTGGTGGTTATCTTATTTTAGAGGCTCAAACTTATCAGTCATATGCAAGAAGAAAGAAAATAAATGTAAGTTTTGTAATAAATTTTAGCAATTTTTTAAATATTGATTGAAAAAATTATTTTTAAATATCTTTAGATTTTTTTTCCTTGTACTTTTTGGGCTGCACAGTTAAATACAGGTTAATTTTTAGTTACCCAGGCACCAGTAAGTTCAGTTTTATATTATTTGTTTTAAATTTGTTTTTATTTAATTTTAAGTGATTGCCATCTTTTTAAAATAATAATGAAAAGAATATTTTAATATACTGGCGCATCTGTAACATAAAAGTACCACACAGAGGCGTTACAAGTGTTTTTGGAACCCTGGGCAGAGTGGCAAAATAGCTTCCTTAGAGATCCTTCTCTCTTAGTTTTCTTGGAATTCGTTTAAAAAAAATTTTCTTTTGTTTTTTAGATGTTTTTTTCCACCTTTAATAATAGAATATAATTCAACCGTGTTATTCTATTAAAGAATTTTTAAAAAAGTGAGGGAAAAGATATTTACTCGATCATTTACCATATTGAAAAGTAAAAAAATACTTGTTTCATATATGATACCAGTGTTTTCACTACAGCGCGAGAATCTCGTTAATTTTTTTCTTTTCTCGCATCAAAAAATGATTGCTGCGAGAAATTTGCCCATTCTATAAACCAATTTCAAAATTCGCGAATTTCTCTCGCATTTTGAAAAAAATTTCTCATTGCGCCATTTAGAATAAAATCCGAAAGAAACGATCAAAACGAAACAAATACTCATTTGAGCAAACCTAATGAGAATAGCTGATGAAAAAGTAGATATAGAACATTTTCCACATAATGATGCAGCAAAAATATTCAATGCTTTAAAAATTAGAAGATGTTAAAAATGTATTATAATAAAAGAAATAATTTTTTTTCAAGTCTCTTTGCGTTTTTTTTTTTTTTTTTTTAATTTTTAGAAATCTCACCTTGTTTTTGAGAAAGGGTGGGAAATTCTCACCCATTTTTTTCTGCGATGAAAACACTAGATACCATGAACCTTGAAGGGAGAACCTCATGATCACTGTCCTGAAGTGATTTATAAGTGATTCGGTTCCTGATTTTACTGTTCAGAAGTTTTATTTCTTGTTTTGCATTATAGGGTATAAATTCCTAAATTTCACTATTTTTTTTTTTCAGGAAGAAGTGCTTAAGCATTATAAAGAAATAAAACTATTCCCTGAAATGTTCAATGAGTTTTTATTGAAAGAAGTTGGTTTCCAGTCTTGTGAACTTATAGATGTACCTGCTCATGCTTCAAAAGGTAAATATATATATACATAAAGCAAATTTTAAATACAATATATATTGTACACATGATGCCGATAGTAAATGAACACATACTCAGGGCAAGCAATATTTTAATGCAAATGGAAATAAAAATTCTTGCTTTCATAATCAATAAATTGATGTAACTTGAACTTAAATAAATTTACTTTTCATCTCAATGCAACCTTCAATATGTATTATTTTATTTAAAGTTTATTCTAATTTATTTATTTAAAGTATATTTAAAATTTTACCTTGTTATTAAGCTTAAGTTTATATTATTAAATTTTATTATGACAGCTCTCGTTAGAAAAAGTATGCTTTATATTGTTGTTAATGATTGTTTTAATATCACACCCCATCAACTGTCATGCCAGAATTAAGTGAATTTGACCAGCATTGACCTGTAAATTAAAATTTTCTGGTCTGCTGGACAATTCAGAATTCATTTCGCAGCAAGCAAGAAAGAAAAAAAAAACATTTGCCAGCTCAGTTTCAAATCGAACCACGATTGAGAAAAAGTGAATCAGATAATTTTTTTTCCTTATCTTCCACATAAGTAAAAAGTAAATAAGTATATCATAAGTAAAAAGTCAGCCATAAGTCAATAAGAAAAAAGTTTAATTATCGAGACCATTAGAGCTAAAAACCAAAAAATCTATCAATTTTGGTTTACTTTAGAGATTGTAAAGTTAATGTAATTTACAGTTAGTTGTGGTTTATAGAATGTCATTGTATTGATCTTCTGTGTAATAAATTTATTTTTTAATACAATTTTTGTTGTTAGCAGAATTTAAGAGCATTGCAAAAGTTAGATTTTTCTCGCAGAATGTTAATGCAATAAATTAAAAAAGGAGAGAAACAGACATGCTTTATATTTTATAAATAGATTTAATGTTATTCTTATAATAATTTGCATATCTTTTTTATTTGTAGGTTTTAGTAGACCTCTTTACTTGTTTAAGAAAGCAGATGATGTTGAACATATTAGTGAGAAGAAGCCCAAACACATAGTATATGATTCAGCCTCAGAAGATAGCTGTGATGACTCTGATGTTGAAACTTTTTCTGATTGAACAAGACATTTCACATAAACTAATAAACATATAAACCTATGCTTTTGTATGGAAATAAACATATGCTTTTGTATGGTATATTTTTTCATCTACCTGTTAGGAAGGGAAAAAATTGCTTTTGAATACTTTCACATTACAATCTTACTTTCTAACTGTTCTAAGATTTTTGCTCTCCATATTTAAATAGATTATCAAAAGCAACAAGAAATTGCAGTCTGTAACCTCACTTATCTGAGTCTGTTTTGTCAAATACAACCCTTTTGTAAAGTTTGATTTAATTATTTGTTTTAAATAAAATAAAAAATTATGATTTGCCTGTTAAATTTGTGAGAAAACAAATTAAACTCCTTATTTATTGCTGATCAAAATTATTCATTTTGTGCTTAGTTACTTTTGACCTATCTCAATTGCATAAGTTTTTTTGTCTTCCCCCTTAACAGTGAATATCTATAATCCTTTAAGACTCAGCTAGCATGATCATGCCGATAAATAATTAACTAATGTGTAAAAAGTGTACAACAATACTTTTGCAAGTTGTCCTTTTAAGAACTACTTAGAAAGGATTCATGATTTTTTTTTATGTCAGTTTTATACCATATTTTCATTATTACAAACTAAAAATACAAACACATTTAATTTTGTCACTTTAAAATACAGAAAAGTGCCGTTGTTTGTCCAGATGCCAATTAACTGTATATCTAATGAATGTTTTTTTCCATGTCTTGGATTCACTGAAGGGGTTTGGAAAATTGCTTTGTCTCTTAGTAATCTTTAAAGAAGAGGTTCTGCTCTCAATTTTAATTTTTATTGATATTTTTTCCATTTGCAATAGTCAGTTAAAAATAGATTTTTCCATTTATGAACTTTTAATGGTTTTGAATGGATATAATTTTTCAGTTCAATGTAGTTTTGACTGTATCGAGTCTTCGTTTTTGGAATCATTCTCCCTTTTCTGACATTTAAAATTGTCCATCAGACTGTTAATGTCTCCATCTGCAGGATATGTTAACTGTTTTTTTTTTGTCCACTTTTGAAAAGACAAAGTCGCATCTTCTGTTATTTGACCTTTCTCTCAAATATTTAATTGAAACTGTCTTAAATTTGAAAAGATAAATCTGAAAAAAAGTACTTATAGAGAAACACATCTTTACATTGAGAACAATTTGAACTTTATTAAAAATTTGTAATTGAGGGAAATTCACTTTGTTGTGATAGGCTTAGATGTCTTGCAGTCGATAGATTAATGCAAATAATGAAATAATCTTTTTCAGCATTTTAACTTTTTAATTCGAGAAAAATAGTATTTTTAATTTTACTATTACTCATTTTAGATGCTCAATAATAAATTTCAATCTTTTGTAATTTTACTATTTTTAAACTTAGTAAATTTTAATAGCACATTAGTAGTTATTATACAAATAAATTCTAGTTATCTCTGTATCTGCATTTACTAGGGTGGCTCTTATCTATTTAAAGTAAAGATGTACAGTTTATTTAGTACATACTGCATTCAAAGCTTTAGGTACTTAGTTTAATAGAGCATTGTGACTTTTTAAAAAGAAATATTTTGAATCATACTATAGGTTGGCCACCACTGAAACATACCATAACAGTTGTTTCTTCTGCTATTTTAGTTGCAAGTTTCTATGGTAAAAAAGCAATTCTACAACACTACAAATGTTATTAATGCAGAATTTTAGTTTTTCCTAATGTTGTTAATATAATGGTTTTTAATAATTTGACAACAAATCTGCAGTTAATTTTAACTTAACTTTACCTAAAACTTTTTGTGTATGATAGCAAAAGTAATTCAAGAGTCTCAAAGTATTGTTTCCACATAGGTATTTTCTCAACTTTTTCTTTCAACAACATAATATGCAAAAACATTTTGTCTAGATTTATTTTATTGTTTTTTACTTAAAACACTTTTTCTACAATTCCATTATGTGGCTTAATTTTATATTGTCTTAAACCCTTAAATTATGGTTGCAGCAAAAATTGAAAAGTTTGTCAAAATGGTTTTTATACTTAGGTACGATCATTCAAAAATAATTAAAGAATTTAGAATAATATTACTTAAAACATATATATTATAAAACATTTTTTAAAAATAATCACTTGTACAATTAATTCCCATGTAGAGCACCAAGAAAAAAAAAATTTTTTTAGCTGTAATTTTAAAATAATTTGATTTATTTGTTTTGCAATGGTTCAAGAATAATTTTTTATTTGTTGCGGTTTCATAATAAAAAAAAATTCTATATTTCAAATAAATTCAAGCATACAGCATAAATTAAAAAGACATCAAGCTTAATTTTTAAAGCAAAATTAAAGTTTTATTTAATATAAATAAAAAAAATAATAAAATACATCAGTGACCAATTAAAAGTACTATAAATACTGTTCACAAAGTAAAGATATGACACAAATCAACTGAAAACTACAGAAATAGCAATATATATACATCTAACTCTATATAAAAGATAAAATTTATTTTAATATTAAATACATTCAGAATGGCTTAGTTTTCTAGTAATTATATTTTATGTAACTTCATTTTTTTATTATTATTTTTTTATCAAATTTCTTAGTCTGCATAGCAGTTTATTGTAAATAAATTAAAACATTTATACAAATCTTATTGCTTTAACATTTTATAGTAAAAGGAAAAACTAAAATTCCAGTAATCTGACAAAAAAATATTCTGTACACTATAAGTCAATAAATAACAATATTCACTTCTTTAACAAACGCTTGATCTGACTATTCTGATATTCCAAAGTCTCATCAGCCTTGTCTGCTTTGTTATGAATTGTGTCCAACAATTCATTCTGGGTTTCAATTTCGTCATTCAAACCAATAGCCAGATTCTTCAATCTGCCAAGCCCCATGGACATGAATTCTTAAAAAGAAACATATCTGATTTCAATATTTAAGAAAAGCAAATATACACATTTAGGTAAAAATAAAGACTAAAATAGCACAGTTCTTCAAAAATATAGACATAAAATAATTAACTTTATTTCTTTTTCATTCTAAACTAGTCTTTTCTAACCTCTCTGATTAACTAGTAGAGAAATAGATTCCTAATAATTTTAATAATATGCCATTAAAATTCAGAATTATGCAGTTCAAAACTTGTACTGACCAGTACTCAATACTCAAGGGATACTCACTATACTCAAGTAAACTTGCATATCTTAAATTTAATTTGATAAGTGTAGCATCACCACACTTATGTACAGAATTACTTATGTTATGATCAGGGCAAACAAGTATTAAAATAAAACTGTTTCTTCCAAATTAAAACTTAAATAATTTTTGCAGCATTAATACTTTCATCGTGGAGATGACACCTTTGTCCCACTACTCTGTGCTTAGAGATCCCCAGCAGAGCTACAATTCAAATGAATCCAAATTTCCTCTAAAACTTAATTATTTTAGTTTAAAAAATGATAATCAATTGCAATCAAATCCATATTTACTAATAACAACAATAGAGTACAATGAGTATTCCTGGGAGACTAGTTATTTCGTCCGGTGCAATGAAAGAGTTAAAAAAGAAATAAATACCAATGAACCTATTCAGTGCTATTAAAATTCTAATTTTAAATTATATTTTTCAAATATTAAATTGTTGCCAGATAAAAATGATTTTTATGAAATTACTTGAACATGTAAAGGTGCATAACTTTTTTAAGAAATAAAATTGACTCCTGAGGGCCACATATACAAAATTAATGTAGTTATATTACTTTAATAACCTAATTTCTCCTAAGTTTAATAAGAACGTTAATCAGTCTTAATTTAAAGACAAAGTGTAATATTTCTGAGTTAAAACTGCTTAAAAGTTTTACATACTTTGTATAATATGCATTTTTTGATGCATAAACTTAAATTATAACAGGTTTTCTACTTTCTCTGAGAAAAATTCATTTATATTTTTACTGTACACATTACATCTTTTTTAAATAAATTAAGTTTTGAATAAATTCTTAAATTAAATTTGTTTGATCAAAAATATTCTCTTCAGAATAATGGAAATGGTAAGATGAAGATTGAAATGATAGAGGTGATCTTTTGATACCTTGAATCAGTACTAAGATATCTTCCAACTTTAAGTTGCAATTTTTTTTCAACATTTATTAAAACTATTAAAAAAACAATACATTTTCTATGACAGTGTTTTTCAATTAATTTTGGTCAGAAGACAGAGATCGACATGTAACAGACAGTTGCTTGTGCACCCTTAACATAGTCAACAAATTTATATTTATAGGGTTCACATCAATAATGAAAATTTAGTGGTCCAATAGGACCACTTAGATAATCATTTAGCAGTCCAAAAATTTTATATGGTGGACAAATTTGGGAAAAAACTTGAACTTTACAATTACATAATTCCTGTTAAGGCACACATAAAAATTATTAATTGCCATCTATTGTTGAAGGTACCCCATACTTGTTGAAACTAGGACCCCCATAATTGTTAAAGATTAATATTCATTAAAATTAAGTGAAAAAAAGCTCAAATAAATGTAAATTTGAATTTCAACAGTTAAATTTAAAACTTTTTGTCCAAAACGCTATTAGTTTTGTACAAGCTGCTATCAGTTAATTTGGATACCATGCATTTTAGTTCCATACCACTTGTGGAACATTAAAATTAGTACCATAAATTTTTTTAAAATTCATTCAATTCGATGTAACAAAAACTATTTTTCGTAACTATTTTGTCAATTTCAAACTCATTTAAAAGCGTCCAATTTTTTCCTCCATGCACATGATTTTAGTAAAAATTTGGTGACAATTGTCACCATACTGGCGTGAATCCTACAAATTTTCAAAAAATTAATATAGGCAATATATATTTTTTATTTCTAAATATAATGAGAAGTGCACATAAAAATGATTCACCAAAATAAAAGATAATTATTGACATACCAAGATTTTGATCTAGTTTTTCATCAACACTTATGGGCATTTTCTTTGAAGTAGGAGAAGTAACTCCACCTGAGCTTTTGCCAAATGCATCAGGTTCATCATAAGGTAAATCTCGTATCCTCAGAGCTGGATGAGTAGCTTCACTTAGAGTGTTATCTTCTCTCAAAGTGTCGATTTTACTTTGTAATGCGCTTGCACTTTTCTTAGTTTGAGACGGTTCAAGGATTTTTGAATTAGTATCGACATTACCCTTTGTGAAATATCCTTTGATACCACCAAAAAGACTCTGAAATACACAAAGAGTATAGAATTTGAATAGAGAAGAATTTAAATAGAGAATAAGTATATAATTTAAAAATAAAATATCAACTAAAACTTTTTATAAATCACTTTGGTTTGCATTGACAAAATGCAACAATAAGCATTTTGCATTCAAAAAAATTTTGCTAAATAATGCCCGATTATAAATTGAGAAAAGCTATGTTAAAACAGCAAAAAATATTTATGTTATTTTGCAGATCAGCAGTGGTGCTGAAATGCTTAATCCTGTAGATTATTAGGAGTACATGAAAAATTGTACAACAATACACAATTGTATAAAAAATATTGCCAATTTCATACATAACAGTGTATGCGTCTGAGTTGAGATAAATTATTAGTACTGGTTATTGTTAAAGAATCAAAGTTCAAGTAAAAAAATTCCTTCTCAAAACCGCATAATTTTTTAAAAACATAATTCATAAAAAATACTTTTTTACTAAATAGATCAATTCATTAAAAATATTATAAATATCAAATATAAAAATATCAATTCAATAATAAATTTAGCAAATACAAACATGTTACTTTTTAAACTAAAGGCTCGAAGTTTTTTTTTTTAACGAAAAAAAAAAAAAGGAAGTCTCAGAAATATTATTTAAATTTATCTCATTTTAGAATAAATAACAAGATGCAAACATTATCTGGTTTCAAAATACATAAATATTTGCAATAAACAAAATTTAAAATAAATGAAATATTCAATTGAAATTCATTAAGTATTATACAGATTATTAGTCCCAATTTTTTGGGGAAATGCCTCAATTTTTTTATAGTTCTATTGAGCAATAGAAAAAAAATTATCTTACTTTATATTCTTAATTTCTTTAATAGTTTTTTTCTGTTGAGCATTTTAAAATTTATTATTTTTCAGAGTAGATATCAAAATGCAAACATTATCTGATTACAAAAAACATAAGTATTATAATATAAAATTCATTAAATATTATATAATATCAGAAACATTTCTTATTAGATGCACTTGTTTACTAGTTGTAACAGAATTTATTAGAAAAATTTTAGACTTGAGATTGTAAGGAAATTTTTCTATGCATTGCTCTTTCATTAAACCAAGAAAACTGGTTTTTTGATGCAGGAAAACTTGCAACTAAAAATTCAGAAATAGCCAGGAAAGATTATTGCTCAAAGGGTATATATGTAGTCTTATTTTTTTGAGAATATCCTGTTCATTTCTCATTTTTCTGAGGAACATTATAAGACTAAAGAAATCTTTATAAAGTATTCTTATACCATTGAATGGGAACAATTTACTCTAAAGATTTACAAATACATAAAATATAACATTGGATTAATTTATAAACAGAATAGTGTAAAAAAAAAAAAAAAGAATTAAAAAGAAAACATAATATATTATAAGTTTCTCTGGCCAGTATGAACACATACTTTAAGGTAACCATTACTTTTAAATTACTGAATACATATGGTAGACATATAGTGACTGAAAAAAAATTCTTAAATCAAGTTATACCTTCATAGAATTGATATGTTTTTGACTGATACGCATAGTACTGTTGATGAGATCTAAATTTTCCTCAATATTTTCCAATTGCTCTCTCTGTTTCACTAACTCCTGAAAATATAAAAAAATTTTTTAGAAAAGCTATTAAGAAAGCAAAGTATCATGAAAAATATTTTTAATTTCTAGTTTTAAACACAGTTAATATTTAAAAGAAAATTTAAGATCATAACATAAAACATAAGATTTAGAAATATATTTAAAAACTGTTTCTTACAATAAAAATATTTTATTTTACTCTCGAATATATATAATTGAAAATTGGAATAAATAAACAAAACAATTTCATTTCATAATTATAAATAAATAGTGTAAAAATATAATAAGAGCTTTGACAGAGCACTGCTGCTGATGTTGTTTTACGTCAACTTGGATTACATTATTCAGGTAGGATATTTTTCAATGTTAAAACCACTATCACTACTAACCTTTTAAACAATATCCACTTCAATTATTAGCAACTACATCATTTACAATTTACTTATTATTTCCTAAGAATCACAAAAATTATAGTTTTTGCCCTTCTTCCAATAATTTCATTTCTCTTAAGCATAACTCCAAATATACGTATCTATCCACAATGTAAATTTTGTTAGTGCAAACTGAATGTTTAATGACTGAATATTTAAAGTTCACGCAATTAAGGGATACTTCCATATCAGTACCAGCTCACACAATATTTTTTAAAAATATGTAGATCAGGAGTCTGTTTAGAAGAAATCTGGGTCCGTTAACGGATCCTTCACAAAATATCCTTTCATATAAATGGACCCTTCATGGAATCTTGTATCCATTTACAATTTAAAAACTTCCTGAAAAGGTTTTTAGCAATTTTTAAAATAACAGGACCCTATTTGAACAAATTCACAAAAGCAGGACCCTGGTTGAAAGAATCTGACTTAACACTTATTTTATAATCGCAAATTATGAAGTATTTTCACAATTTTACAAAAACAGGACCTTTCGCAAAATGACTGGACAGACCCCTGTAAATGCTTGCCTGGGGATGGCTACGACTTATAAGCTTTGTGGTCTCTTCTAGAATTTTTTTTCTTTAAGCTTATAGTGGGCCACCATCTAGAAGTCTGCAAAATGTGGCGTCTGTACTGATACAACAACCTTCCCCATGGTTATTCCAACAATAGTCAGATCAGAGCCACGGTGTCTCGTTTCAGGGGATAGAGCATTTACTTTCCAATGAAGTGAACCAGGTTTGAATTCTGGCAATTGCTGGTCATTGTCGAATTCCGCAACCGGCTTATGCTAACCACAGTGCTCACGTAAAATATCATTAGTGGTAGACAGATTGTGGGTTAGAGTGCCCTAGCTGTCAGGTTAACTGTGGAAGGTCTTCATCTCCTTATAACACAAATGCAGGTTAGTTTCAGGTTCTTTAATAAAAAAGTCCTCTACGATGGCAATTTTCTCCAAACGAGGATCCAGGAGTTCCCGCCTTTTTTAATTGGGTTCAAAATTACAAGGCTACAGAGTTGAAAATTATGTCTGCTGTTCAAGACAGTCATAAAATATAAAACACTCAGGTCAAACACAAAAGAAAAACAAAAAAATAATGTTTATGTTTACTTATATAATATATAAAAAACGTGATAGTTTTTCACTCATTGAAATAGGCAAAAGCCGAAAACATGAAAAATATATTTAAGAAAGACTCTGAAATCACACTGTATTAGTTGAGAGACTTCAACTAACACAGAGACATTCATGAGTCACTGTATTAGTTGAAGTCTTATTTTTGAGAAACTTGATGATACCAGGAGCTGTTAATGAAGAAATCCTTCTGTAATTTTTTTAGCAGTGATTATGCAAACACAATACAATTCTTATTTGCTTAATAAAGTAAAATAGTAAAAATACAAGCCTCTGCTGTTAGAATGCCAACTTGCTCTGACTCGTGTAGCAAACCAAGAGAGTTATTAGTGCTTTGCAAAGTTCTCTCCTCAATCAATCGGCGTTCCTGAAGTATTTGTTGTCTTTTGGCTTCCCATTCATTTTCTTCTCGTTTGGCAGAATCACTTTCTAACATATATCCCGTCGTTCCCTGTTTTGGATGACTTAAAAATTCAAAATCATCAACTTCATCATCATCATCGAGGAAAGGATTGGAGGAAGATCGTTCTTTGGCCATTTAAAAGGATAAGTCCAACTAATTTCGAAGCGCGAAAGTTTTATTTACAAGTACAATAACTTATTATTAAGAAGGAAACACACAGAAGTTTTATCTTAAGAGAATAACAGCAATCTATTTCCTCCTACGATACTCGTATACACTAACAATATTAATTAAATATGCATAAATCAATACTCAAGGTTGTTTTATTCAGCACATAAACTTTTTACAGCTGACTGCTACTAAACGAAAAAAAAGTGACGTCTTCCTGTGAGTCACGAAAAATTAACGCTGAACTAGATCAAGTTATAAGAATTCCATAAAACACACGATATGAACTTCTGAGTTTTATCCGTTCATTTATGACAAGCAAAAGATTAAACCGTTTGCGAACCACCACGTTGAAGTTTGTAATCAGTATTAATTATATAATTTTCATTGAGAATATCTGCTGTTTCTAAGATATTTGTTCAAATAAAATTATTTTAAATATTACAGAGCTTAAGAGGAAGCAAATGGACTTTTAAAAATCGAAAATTAGTGAGTGTCTTTGAGATTATAAATTTAGCTAATAGTATAGCCTCAGAAATTAAATTTATTATAATATATAACTGAAGAGAAGACATGCAATATTTATTGTCGTCTGTGTGTTTTGAGAAGTTCTGTTCTGAAATCGGTTTCATGTGGAGAATCTCATTTATTACCAATATTTAACCGTTTTATTGCTATAATATTTAAAGTTTAAAAATGTTATGGATCAGACGAAACGTATTCAAAAGTCAAATTAGAAACTTGTTTTATAAAAGGTAAGTTGCTGAAATAATCTGTTTAAAATAAGAAAAAAAGTTGTTAAAATAATGATATTTTTGTATTTAGAATACTATTTGAATATACGTTAGGCTAGGTTAAGTATGTATTTAATGTTGTCATGCATTTACTTGCTCTTGATTACTAACTATATTTTTGAAATGATCTATAACCTAACTATAATAATATACCTGTTATAAATAAACCTGTTTTTTAATTTGTAGGAGGGCTGAAAAATTTAATTTAGAAACATGTGTAGTGTAAATATATATACTAAATAAAAAGCTATATCCATATTTTAAATTTATTTTTATGTAAATTTGAGCGAAGATAATTCTTTGGAAAAAACATATCCAGCAAATTAGTTCTAGAAGCAATTAGAATTTAAGAGTCAATATAATAAAATATTTATTGAAAATGCAAAAAAATTATTTTCAGATATTGATCATTATTAATTTGCTTCAACTATCTCCTTTTTTCTCTCTCTATATTAGCTAATTAATGCAATCCTAACCTTAGAGTTTGCTGTATAAGGGTAATGTTTGAAAAATTGCAAAACCACAACACTTATAAATAATGAATATTCAATTGGTAAAAGAAAAAAGATTTCAGAATTTTATATTTGTTAACTTAACATATTGTTAACAAATATAAAATTCTCAAATTTATATCTCATTATTGAACTAACATAAATTTATTTTTATAATGGGAAGATTTTTACATCATGATCTACAGCAGAATAATCGCCAAGTCTTGCCAACTTTCCAGCAGCGACCCACAAGCAACTAAAATAAACATCACAGAAGAAGACCAACTGAAAGAGTACCTATAGCTTGTAACCACCCTGGAGAAACCTCTACATGTTTTTTTAAAAAAACTACTTGGAAGTTTGAAATCCATTTTTCTCTTTGACAATTGTAGTTGGTACGATAAATCATGATGTGTTAATATCCCCTTAAATAGTTGAAAATGTTATCTCAATATGATAAATCCAGCAAAAGAAAAAACCATCACATAATTATTATTATTTTTTCTTTTTTGAATGCTATTTAATAAAACATAAAATGTTGTAACATGGAGTAAATAGTTGACTGTAAAATTAAATGTTTTAAATGGAGATTTTAAATGCTACTTATATTATTGAATTTACCATAATGCTGACGAACCAAATATAACTTTGAGCTATATCGACTCTACAAGCAGCCCCAATTTTGACAAATAATTCGCAGTGATAGGCTGAGATGGCTGTGCCATCTATTGAGAAGCCCTGAAAATAGCGCCGTGAGAATAGTCACCTTTAAGAACCTCGAGGGGTCGCCTCCCAGAGGCCGGCCCCTACTAGATGGCTCAACGACATCGATAATGATTTGAAAACCCTAAGGATTAGAAATTTGAGGGGAGTTGCCATGGATAGGAGGCATTGGCATTTATCAGCTGTTGAGGCAGCCAAGGCCTGCAACGTGCTGTTGCACTGACAAAGAAGAAGAAGAAGAAAAAGTTTTTAGAAGTTTAATAAGAGTTCAGTTGGTCCTTACAGTTTGATTCATGCATGTATTAATCACATGCTACTCTTCATAATTCCTTATTTATCTTGATAAAGCAATAATGAAAAAAAGCTTTTTATCAGTTCTGAGTCAAATCTTATGCACCCTTAAAAAATTTTTGGATTAATGCACATTTGAAAGAAAAAAAAATGTACAAATTACTCCAATTTTTTCTTTTAATTTTGATATCCATCAGCTCCCGAAAAGGCTAAGGTTTCTTTAGCTAAGAAGGCTAATGAAGTTAGTTTGGGGCTTCCGTGTTGTCACTGCTTCATTAGATAATAAATAGAAAAAGAGATTACTTTTAGATTTTGTAAATCATGTGAGTGTTGTGATTATTCTGTTCAATCAAAGAATCATAAATAGATGATTGAGATTATCGGAGATAATTAGTTGCTTTAAAAAGTTAAGTAAAATGTGTTAATTAATTTTGAAGTTACAAAGAACTTTGAAGTGAGAAACAATGGACACAATCAAGAGACTTTCTGGGAAACATTATTAACCATATACAGTCTAAGCTCGATATAATGATTTTATCTGAATGAAAAAGGTCTTTATTATGTGACGTGGTTAGATCGTGAGTGCATAAAAAAAAATTTCACTTACTGATAGTTAACATTTGACTAATTTTTAACGTAATGCAATCCAAAGAAACTGAAGTAGTGAGATATTACTTGATCAAAAACTTCATTCGCTTCAAAAATATGCAAATTGGAAACAACAGTCAACATGTTTCAAGCACTTGACAGACAAAATTTCTTCCCATCATATCATGTCTTCACTTCTGGTGAGTCTTGAAAATGAGCATCTGTTTTTGAGTGCTTGAAACATGTCAACAGTTATTTCCAATTTGTATATTTTTGAAACAAATGAAGTTTTTAATCAAGTTATAGTAATGCTTTATTTTAATAAGTTTAAGGTAACTAACTAACAAAATAAATGCACTTGTTTCTTTTTTATTTATTTTAATATATGCTTAAAAGTGCCTGTTAAAATAATAATTTATGGGTGAAAAACACATTAAAAATAATATGCTGATTTAAGGCAGTCATTTTCAATTTTTAATAATAAATGTGAAGATAACTAAAAAAGACTATGTATTTATCGAAAATAAAACTTTCTAGTTTCGAATGAGTAAGTTAAATTTTCTAACGAAAAAAGCATGATTGCTAAATTTATTTTATCCTTTAAAAAGAAATTTACAAATTGTGAATGCATCCTTTTATTCTAATAATTAACTAATTTTAATCTAATAAATGATAAGTGTTTAAATTTGTTCTTTACAGATGTTCTAAATGCTCTAATCAAAATTAAACTGTTAGAAATAAAATTTGAAACAATAATTACAATGTGCTCTTTGTTTTTAACTTATATATAATGAAAGAGGAATGTGATATCCCCACTAGTTTTTCGTTACAATGCCATTTTTTTTTCTATTTATTTTGGATTAATCTTTGTAAAATATTTTATTCTTTTAAAGTTGATTAAAGAATAAAAGTTCCATGTTAAGTTTCGTGTTAATTAAATTATAATTTCTTGTTACTGTTTCACATAATTGACACAAGAACCAAAGCCCCCACCAACAATCCGCATCCTCAATCACCCTTTTTTGTCCCTAATGACAGCCTTGGTTTAAAATAATTTTTATAAGTTAGAGAATTTTAAACTAAATGCAGTTAGAAATAAAAGCATCTATAATACTTTTATGTGTTCATTTCAAATTAAAAAATCTCTATGAAATGTTCAAATTTTTAGCGTTCTCTAATTGTAAATTTGCCACAAGAGCACTGGTAATCTCCGTGGCTCTGGGAATCGTATTTTATGACTATCGCATTCTTATTGTTTAATAAGTTAAGACTGCAGTGAAGTAAATATTTGCTTGCACTTTTAATTTATTTTTTTGTTTTAAGAATTGAAAACATTAGCCTGAGGAAAAGCTATGCATCCCCCCCCCCAACATATATGATTTCACTTTACAATGCTGAATAATTTCTTTTTTTTTTAATTTTTTGGACTGCAAGTTTGTAACATGATAACTTAACATCTTGTAGTTAAAAACTGAGCCTTAAGACTGTGTATTTCTAGTGCAATTAATAAATAAACCTGACCTATAAATTGCTTATAGCAGCTATTTGGAAAGAGCATCTGAAGAATCACATGTCCTAAGTACACTCCTAATATCAAATAAGTTCCCAACTAAATGTATATTATTCATATCAAAACTTTAAGTTACCAATTTTAATTATTTTTTTATATTGGTATAAATAACACTGGTGTGGGTAAAACTGGGTAGACATTTCATTTATAGAAATACTTGATATTGCCTAAATGGGATGTGAAGGAGTAATTTAATTTGGGGGATAATTGGGAGGGGATAATTTTAAATATTAAATTAGTTTTGTTCTTAAAGCTACACAATTTTTAAAAGGATATTTTTAGTCTATTTTTTTTATCGGAATATCAAATTTTAAGACATTATATATAACAGGAGGATTGCATAAATATTGCGATAAACTTCTAAGGTAGTTAGGACACATCATCAGAATTAAAATTGCATCGGAACACATGCCCGAAAATTTTACCATACACGGTAAAAGGCGGTACCTTATTGTTACCTGTTCAGAAGCACATGAAGAAACAGTTCATATCGAGAAGCGCCTCTAATGTCGTGTGACGATATTTTGGGCAAGGGTTCCTATGCACTTTTGATCCTGATGATGTGTCCCAACTCCCTTAGAAGTTAGTTGCAACATTTACGCGATCCCCTGATATCTATAACGTTTTTAAACTTGTAAATCTCGGCAAAAAATAGACTGAAATGTCATTTAAAAGAAAATAAGAAAGGTTGTAGTTTGGAAAGAGAAACTTATTGCAGAATTGAAATCGGTGATTGAAGAGTATCTATATAAGATCTGTTTAAAAAAAATTCAGCAGAAAATAAAAATTTTACTCAGTGTAGTTGAAAGATATTACTTCATTTTAAAACAAAATTATTTAGTCAAATGCTTTTTTCTGAATTATTATTAAATTTAATTAGTGGTCACCATGTTGATTGATGCACCATCACCATGTTTTACACATGCTTAGAGGGACTCCCAATGAGTCTGTGTTATCATTTTTAATTTTTTATATTAAAACTGTCAGCTTTGTGTAGATCCCTAATTAATTATCTTATATAAAATTATTTCTCCTAACGTTTTATTTTAAAAATAAGTAGCCAGTCTTATTGCCTCAAAATTACTATTCGGGCAGACTGTTTGCGTAAAAAGGGTGAGTCGATAATTTAAAATAATAAAAAATTATATATTTTTGTACGTTTAGCATTGTTAGTACACTAAGTGATATTATAAATTGTTATTTTCTCTAAAATCATTGTCGTTTTCTTAAAAATCAAATGAGTAAAAATTGCTCTAGGACTTTTTTCACGATTAGACAAAGATAGCGATTCATTTAAA